TAGCCCCGCCCCGCTGCAGGGGTTCACTAAATTTCAGACCGGAGTTCTTTTTTTGAGTGAAATATCAACTTTTGATGTTTGGGCTTACATACACTTTAGACATGCGCACAGGCAAAACATTCATTTAGTTTTGATTCGGATTTTGCGTGATTTCGTTTTTCAGGATTCGGTCTGAAAGTCCATTCCTATCGGGATTCGGACTAAATTCGTTAGCGGTAGTCTGTGCGAATTTTGGTTTCTGTTTCGAGTTTGTTTCGTTGTAGCAAAGTAACATTAAAATTTTTTAAAATTATTTTTAAATGTCGCTTCGCTGCAACAAAAATGTGTCCTCGAACGAAAATTCATAGACTACCGCTAACGAATTTAGTCCGAAATTCCGTTTTTGGAAATTCGGATTCGTTTTTATTCGTCATTTCAGTTATTCGGAAACGAATCGCACATGTCTAATACACTTTAAAGGAGAACTATGAGGTGAGTGCTTTCCACGCACCTCATAGTTCTAGCCGACCTGTGACAATGAGACTGTCACAGGTCGGCTCAGTAGATCGGGAGGTGAGCGAACACATACCGGCGTTCGCTCACCTCTCGATCCTGTCACAGCTCTCTGCCGTGACAGGGGAAGGGCTGGATTCCCCCCTCCTCGCTCCACCAGCGCTCACTGGCGGTACGGACGGGGGAGGGGGCGGGTACAGCTGGCTCTGCCTCTAGATAGGCAGAGCCAGCTGTCACTCACGCAGCTGAGCGCAGCCAGACATAATTGTCGGGATCCGCTTCAGCGTCTCAGTATAGGACGCTAGTTTGTGTCCTCCCGTTACCCTAATGAGAACTATGGGGAAAAGCCCCAACACCATAGTTCTCCTTTAAGTAAAAATTTACTTTTTAGTGTTTGGGTTTGATATTCAGGTTTACATTCACTTACTTTGTGATATTTGAGTTTATATTTACCTACTAGTGATGCACTGATACCGGTATTGCGGTATGGAGTACGAGTACCGATATTATTTTTTTTCTCGGTACTCGGCGATACCGAGTACCGATACTGGAAGTCCCATTAAGGAAGCCGGGCAGCGTGTAATGACTTACCACCCGGCTTTTCGATTAGCAGAGAAGCCGTCCCCATGCTTCTCGTCACCAGGTGACTAGAAAGCATGGAGCCGGCTTTCTGGCCAATCAGGAAGCCGTGCACCGTGTAATGACGCGGCACCCGGCTTCCTGATTGACCGGGAAGCCGGCTCCATGCTCCCTTGTCATGAGGTGACCTGGTAATATGAAGCCGGCTTCCCGGCCAATCAGAAATCCGGGTGCCGCGTCTGGGCGCCCGGCTTCCTGATTGGCCAGGTTCCTGAGCAATCTTGAAGCAAGGCAGCGAGTCATTACATGCTGCCCAGCTTTCTGATTGGCCCGGAAGCCGGCTCCATGCTCCCTCGTCACAAGTGATGAGGGAGCATAGAGCCGGCTTCCTGGCCAATCGCTGCCCGGCTTCCTGATACCGGAAGTATCGGGCTAGGCATCGGAGCATTTGGGTGAGTACGAGTA